CCCAAAACCCCAAAACCCCAAAACCCCAAAACCCCATTCCTGCTTAAAAATTAAATTATTACAATTTCTAAAATGATTCAGGCCCGTAAAGACCCCAGTAAGCTTCTTCATGATTACATAGGCTCTAACCCATCAAGACCAAGAACAGTATGGAAGAAGTACATCCTCAACCTTCTCGGTTCAGGTAGCCAAAATGGGTGCCTAAGCTCTGGCTTCAACCGGAAATACAGCTGCACAAAAGCTCCCTTTCAGAAGGTAATATGAACCAGTGATTCCACACAGAAAATATTCAGTCCGTGCCCAGCACGAGGATTTGAAGGTAACAGCTCCAAGAGAATAGTTTAAGAAAATCGAGAAATATCCTCAGAAGAACAACTTTTTAACCCTGTAAGCCCCACTTGACATTGAGAGTGTGCTGATGTTCTTCACATAGGAAAGGAAACAAGATTGACATGAATTTAAAGAATACTCATAAATAAAGCCCGTATGGTGCTGGAAAATTACCACCATGCTAATATAAAAACTAACGAGAATTCCTTGATCGCCATAAATAGGTAAAGGGAATTAGTTCAATATAGGTTCCCTGCTAGATCGGCTTCTGTAAAGCATTCCAAGAGGTCTCAAAAAGATCAAAGTTTCAACCAAAAGTCTTCATTTGGATGTCTAAGCACGAGGATGATCAATGGAGATATTAGCTCTGTCCTCCCGCAAAGCCCTGAACTGGTAAGCCCGATTTATGATTCCCTAGATCGACCATTTTAAGAAGCAAAGGAGGAAATCAAAAGCGAGTCATGCTAATTCAATAGAAAAGGAGGATCAAAGACCTAACGTATATTTCTACAACTGGCCTCTCAAATAAAGATATTCAATTACCATCTGAGATAAGAAAGAAGCAGTTCTTTTGGGGACGAAAATTAGTGAAAGCAACTCCTGTTAAGACTAGAGGTTCGAATCCGATAATGTTTTAGAGAAGAAGAGAAAGAAGATCAGGCAAAACCTCTCACAAAGCCAATGAAAGAGTATAGAAGTGTGTTAATTTTAGGGAAATAAAACCTCACGTTTGGACAAGAACAAGGCTAATTATAGTATCATCACTTATTCATGCGATTGTGATCAGGAATTTTATCATGCAGAGAAGAGACCTTCTAGTCAGCTAGGAAGTGAGTTATGAGCTCTAGTTTTAGAATCAAAGTCTCCTAATAGTCCAAGCCAGAGACCAATCTCAATGCAAATTTCCCGTCGGGTGCTTGAGAGTCTACCAAAGAAGATCGAATGAAAAGAATTTGATTTATCTAAAGGAATTATTGCAAAGATGTAAGCTTCTCCTTAATTAAATCTATAGACCTCAACCAGAAATGGTTGACTCCGATATGCAAATATTTGAGACGATTGATAGTAACACATTGTCACAGGGCAGTATCCAGAATATATAGAATCTTCCAATGGTAATTAAACAGTAACCTCTAGTTGCAGTCTGGCCGGATAGGTTGTATGAGTACTAAAGATGTGTTTATTGCGATATTTCAAGAAAGTAATACAGAGAAATCTATTCATTCTTGTCGACCTTCAGCATCTCAACACTCTTATGCTAATGTAAGATGCCAAACATAAAAATATAAAGAAGCTTGACCAGCCTTGCCAGTGGCAATCCATAGGATAAATTATAACTTGATTATAAGCAATATAATTCAACCGTTATTGAGCTGGTTGGGGTTTTGGGGTTTTGGGGTTTTGGGGTTTTGGGG